TTCGGATTAAACACACGCTACGGGGGGGTGGTGCGCGGCTAGACGGCGGCGGCCCCGGTCGTTCCGCGTTCCGCGGTGTGTTTCAACTCGGCGGCGAAAATGGGAAATAATTAACAATCGGTCGTCGCGAGCGCGCCGCGCCGCGCCGCGCCGCGCCGCGCCGGTGCTGTTGCGTTTCACGAGCTGTGCAACACGCGCGCGCGCGAAACGGCGGCGCGGCTCTTATTATCCCGCGAGCAATTAATTCCGATTACGGCCACGGGTCGGCACCGGCGGCTTCGTGTCAAAATAATTCGCCGACACGCTGCAGGCGTCGGCGGCCACCGAAACACCTCCCCCCCCTCCCCGCGCGTCCTTATTAGCTCTCTCGCGCGACTACGGCGTCGCGGCGCTGCACTTTCGACCGTGTGTACCTCGACGATTAATTTCGATTCGGCCAATTCCTCGAGACCCGACCCGTCGCGTCGCTTCTACCAACGCGCGATATGAATCGTTCGACACGGCGATCGCGCGTCTAGCTCACTCATGAATGATGAACGACGTGACGCGCTCGACGATACTCGCGTTCGCGGCGAGCGATACTTGAAGCGATATTAAGCGACAAAAACGATCATATCGTATGTTTCACCTCCGATAAACAAATCGAAGAGTTCGAAGCCGACGTTGAGTACAGTTAAGCTCTATTTGATATTCCTCGTCTCTTTCCATCGCGCGCTTCGCTCTCTTTCTGTCTTTCTTCTTCCTCTCTCTCTCTCTCTCTCTCTCTCTCTCTCGCTCTTCCTCCCGGAGAGGCTCGAATATATTTCGTTTTTGTAGAGAATGTGTGTGACATGCAGCTAATAAAGAACAGACCCTTCATTCAGTAGAGTCTATAGTCTTAATGGTGAATGCAGCTACTTCAAGGACCACAGGGGGACAAGCTGAAAATTGCCGGGTCTCGAGATCGGTGTTAACTTCCTGAAATATATCGTTCTATCGAGACACGAGCGCGGACGAGCGACAGGAGACATGTCTCCAATTACCAGTAATGATGTAAAATCGCGCGACGATAATGGCTCGCGCGATGTGCAAGGCTAGCTCGAGACACGTGTTCTCTATTAATAGTTGTGCGCCGTTTTTATCGCCGCGCGAGGCGAACGCGCGAAGACCACGAAGCGGCGAAGAAGAGGACGAAAAAGACGAGATGGAAAAGAAAGCGGGAGAAAAGGAAGAAGAAGAAGAAGAAGAAGAAGAAGAAGAAGAAGAAGAAGAAGAAGAAGAAAGAAGAAGAGACAGTGGCAGCCCGACGCGATGGCGCGATGGCGCCTGTCAGGGTAAATACGCTTTTTTTAACGGGTCGCCCCGGCCACCCGCTAAAGACAATACCGAAACGGCGCTCTCTCCCGGTCGCTTATCCCGGCGGCTTCCCTCTATTTACATCGGTCGCCACGATTATTCTTACCACCCGTTTGCTTTTAACGCCAGCTGCGTCGGGCGTTTTTCTTTTTATCTCGCTCCGTTTAACCGACGATAAGATGTAACGCGAGCGTTGGCCCGTGTACGAGAGTTTTGTCTTGCGAGCGCTGCTCTTTAACTCTCTCTCTCTCTCTCTCTCTCTCTCTCTCTCTCTCTCTCTCTCTCTCTCGGAGAAAGCGAAGCCTTACGACTCCATCTGAGCGAAGTGATTCGCGTTTCGCGCGGCGGTTATCGAGTCACCTCGCAGAGACACGGCGATGGAAGTGATAGTCGCTGCGCGTTTCTTAGTCTGACGTAGATCGCCGCTGCGAGTAACCCTCTCGCCGATATGGACAACTATAGACGCACTACGAAATTGCCCGCCGCGGTGTCTATAGGCGATCGGCATAATCGCGCAAAACACATAAAACGCGTATCACACGCAAAAGGAATGATTAATTTGGCTTCCGAGCGAATTTGATAACTTATGGCGCAACGTCGCAAGTTATGCCGCCGCTGCAAAAATCCGCCATGTACGCGCGTTTTTGCCGCCGGGATCGTTGTACGTATTAACAAAAGAATTCCAAATTAAATAAACAGAAATAATATTTCTATGCGTGTTAATTCTTCAGAAATGTTTCCACTGATACTTCTCGCCGAAAGGTACGCCTTGCCAAAATTTAATTTGCAAAAATCGTAGTCCTGTGTGTACGTCCTGAATGCATCGCTATCATCGTTCATCATCGTCGCCAAACACCGGTGAAGACGCAACGCCGCGTAACGCTCCGCTCACCGAGCGGATCTCGGTCGGTGAAATTCGCTATGCGACAGAATGCGGTTATTCGCGCGGTTTACGTCAGCGGATAACGATTAAGACTCGCGGTGACTTACGGTCAAGTTGTCCCGCGTGAAAAGAAGTCGCCGGAGAGTTCCGGCCGGCCGGCGAGAGGAGAGAGGTCGCACGTCGCGCTTTAATTGGAATTCTTCTCCCAGTTGCGATGCCCCCCCCCCCCATTCACGTCCGCTCGCGCAAACGTATAGATCATCTCGCAAACGGACAAAGGAAGCTACGTACGGCGCATTGCGTATCCGTAGAAGACGCTGAAGACAGATATTAGAAGACCGCGGAGCCTGGCCTACGACCCCGCATACGCTTTACACGCGTTCGTGTACACGCGATATGCGGATGTTAAAAAAAAAACTGCCTTCACCCGCCGCGCCGGCGCGCTGTTCCACCCACGCGCAATTTAACGATTTCGCGCGAAAAGATTTGCCACCACATGGCGGTGTGTTTGTATCATTTGCACGTCATAATTGAGAATTAAGCACGCTCCGCGCGCGTCTATTTGCACGCTTCGTTTACCCATTCGAAAAAGCGGAACTCGTCGCGGTTCGCGATGCGCGTGCATCGAGAGAGAGAGAGAGAGAGTGAGAGTGAGAGAGAGAGAGAGAGAGAGAGAGAGAAAGAGAGAGAGAGAGAGAGAGAGAGAGAGAGGAGAAGAGAATGAGCTACGCACGCTATTATTAGAATTGTCGTGATTGATGAACGTTAATATTGCATACGCGAATGCGATTAACGAATTGTTGGGAATTATAAAAAATGAAGCCACGTCGGAAATTCATCAGTATGCGCGACAAAATCATACACAATGGGACAATCACGGCCTCTGCGGCGTGACAATTCGAAAAAATTGTCGAACAGGAAGCGCAGCTTGTTACATGTTACACAAAACGCGCTGACAAGCGCGACGAAACATTGAATAGGAAGGATGGAGGAGCGAGACAAGACGGAAAAATCCTGGCGAATACTGATTGCTCTAATTGCTCGCGCGACTGCTTCGTTTATGTATTTTACATTATAAGTTCAATCTCTGCCCACCCTCCCCCTTCCCGCCGACCTCTTACCATTCGTAGCGCGCCTTTTTGTTCCCCTCCTCTACCCTTTTCTCTCTCCCGTTCTCCTTGATACTCTATTATTCAGGCCAGTTCTTGCGCGCACTTGGAGGATCAAAGAGATAACAGCAGGATATCCAATTTATCTCCTTTGGGAGAGGGGGAGGGGGAGAATATAGCTTTGACCGGCTCCTACGATTGTAATTGCAATTAAGCGGCCGGCAGCTCGGCAGCGAATTCTTACGAAACGTGCAGGATTTCCGCCTCCAACCTGGCCGAACGCGATCGTGCACGTTGACTCTCTCGTAGGGGAAGAAAAATGCGCGCGGGTCAGATAATTAGAATAATTTAGTACCTCTTAAGATTGCAACGATGCCTCTCAAGTGTTTCAGACGTTAAACAACGCTCAACATGGCGATGTGAGCGTTGATTGGAGATCGACAACGAGCATTGATCATTGTAGCGCGTCGAATTTCGCGAAGAATTTATTCTCTCTAGTATTACCTGCTGTTGTAAATATAATAATTGTGATGTAACACAACGGCGTTCCGATTTTCACAAGCGACGAGTTTCAACGGTAATCGACTAAAATAATTGTAGCGCTGACGACTCTTGCAAAACTACACGGCAAATGATTACAATTTGCGAATTTGTGTACCGTGAAACATGCCGTGGACATAAGAGCTCGATATTCCCGACGATTCGCATTGCGCAATAATTTTTCATGCGATTGAGCACTCACGCGGCCGACTCCCTCCGACGAACTTTCCGCCATTTTTTCGCCAGCATTTTAATAATCGCGACACTCGTGCGAAGTTTCCAGTTGGAGCCGCAGGTATTCGCAGTAACTTTCGACCATCGATCTTCGAATTCCGGCCGCTCATGAATACGCGAATGCGGCGCGCAAATATTCTCCGGGCGACGAGCGCGGGCGGGCGAGCAAAACGGCAAAAGCGATAACTTTGCGTCGCGTCGCGTCGCGCCTCGAGTAGGTATCGACCGTCGAAGATCGATGTAAGCCGTCGAAAGAAGGCCGAATTACGGAGTTAGTTATGGACGTGAAGTAGCGAGTCACATCGGGGAATTAACGAACACGTTGCTCGACGAGGGCTGGGTAAAGGCGATTTGCAGATTAGCACGAGTCGCCGGCTGCGCGCCGATCTATCGAGCCGTCGAACGCGTCATCCGGCGAGGAACAAAATATCACTCGCCCGTCGAGAAGAGAATCGTCCGCGAGAGACGATCGCAGACGACGCGAGTAACAATCGCATGTCCCGCTAGGTTCGTAATGCACAAAAATCAAATCATATACCTACTTCACATTAATTCGATGAGACCGGATCGAGCGTCTCTCGACATCTCGAGACCGGTAGACCTACAGCAGAGATTCTTCTTCATTTCCCGTTCGAATCCCCGTCGCTTGATATCGAGTTCTATCTCGTAGGCACATATTTTACCTCGCCAATAACTCCTTCGAGCACGACCAAGGACGGTCTCCGATCCAAGATTAAACCAGAAACTTTGAGAGAGACGAGTGATCAGCCCCGTTATCAGCGCTGCGCCATGCAAATTGCAAATCGCGTTGCGTGGAACGATAAGACTCGAATACGAGAACGGACAAAGTAAGACGAAAAAAGAAACGGAGAGAGAGAGAGAGAGAGAGAGAGACTCACCGGGATGGCAACGCAGTCTTCGAGCTCGGCGAGGGGTGATTCCGAGCAGAAGGTGCCCTCGGTGAGGAAGGGCGGCCGGGGGGGCGGCGGCAACCGGAACTCAGGGGGCGGCCCGGGGCACTCCGGGCACTCCGTGCTCTCCAGCGTCTCCAGCTCCTCCATCCTCCACCTCAGCGTGCTGAAAAGGCAAGAGAATCCACGATTAATCTTATTGGCGACGAACGTTAGCCGGAATCGCCAAAGTGCGGGGGAGGAAAAACGAGGACGCGTTGTTCCTCGGAAAAGTATCGATCGATGCGGGAGGACCTACTCGCGAGACACACGCTGCGTGCGTGCGTGCGTGCATGCGTTAGCACGTCGACGCTGCAATCGCCATCTGTCGCTAGTCCAATGATGAAATCTCACAAAGTTCGAAGTAACGATGAATATCGAAGAGCGAAGAGACGAGATAACCGGAGGTGAGAGCAGGATGAGAGGAAAGGGAAGATTGCGGTGTGGTCGGTATGCTAACGTCCGGGGACTTAATTAAGGTCTCATAATGAATCAGTCACGAGACTCGGTCGAGTCGCGAATAGATGCGCGCGCGATTATGCCGCTTGATTAATTGTCTCGCGCCCCCGCGCCCCCGCGCTCCCCGCTTCCCGCGAAGCGCATCGCAGGTCCGCATCGTAGCGAGGAGAGCGCGGATCGCAAAGCGATATCCTCTCCGACGCATATTCGTCATCCGTGATCGCCGATCACGATCGATACTTCCGGCATCCTCCGGTTGACGATGATTCTCGCGAGCGTGGACAGTCTAAATTCGAGCCAATGGAATCTCGCATATGTGTCGTGCGACGCGACAGTGTGACGACAGCGTATGCATGTTTCCACAAAACTGCGGAGAGCGTTATCCGAGAGGAGCGCCTGAACAAAGGAGAGAGAGAGAGAGAGAGAGCAAGAGAGACACGGATCAAGCGAGAAATAGACGGCGAATAACGCGAAAGAAAGGAAAAATGAGAATCGTGAAAAGAGAGTGAGAGTGAAAGAGAGTGGAGGGATTGAACGGGGCAAAGAGACGGAGGGACGGTGCGAAGTGAGATAGAGAGATAGAGATAGATAGATAGAGAGATAGAGATAGAGATAGAGAGAGAGAGAGAGAGAGAGAGAGAGAGAGAGAGAGAGAGAGAGAATGAGTAGAAAGAGAAGAATAAGTCAAAAGAACACCAGCGAGGGAGACCAAGAAGAGCGACGACGTGCGAGAGACAGAGATGGGATAAGGAGGAGGGAAGGATAAAGCGCGAAAGAAAACGGGAATAGAGGAAATAAAGCGAGCGGGAAGAAGCGACTCGCTGATGAAGAGCGTATCGAGCACTATTTTACACATACCCGACCTCATTCCACGGAAGTAGCAGCGGCCAGGAATTACGAACGCGCAAGAGGCGGGGGGAGGGGAGGGGGGTGGTTGCGGAGCGAGTTCGTAGCTCTCTCGCGGGGTGCAAAAGGGAACGAAAAGAAGGCGAGCGAGGGGGCGAAGAAGAGGAGGCGCGTTTGCGCTCAGTTTAATAAATGCAGTCTTCCTTCCGTTCCGTTTCTTGGCTCGACTTGGCTTCGGCGATGTGGCCGACGAGAAACTGGCACCCTCCCTACCTATCGCTGCGGTGGTTGCTCGTTTCTCCCCCGCGTCATCGGCCGTGCATTCTGTCCTTCTTTCTCACCCTCTCTCTCTCTCTCTCTCTCTCTCTCTCTCTCTCTCTCTCTCTCTCTCTCTCTCCTTGCCGCTGCATCGCGTTCCTTCATTCGCATGCAGAGCGAGGAACAGAGGACCAGTCGAGCGAGCGCGGCGCTCATTTTGTTTCCGGCTGCGCGGACCAAATCTACAGTTGGCGTGATTTTTATTTAATTCCCACTCCCGCCCAATCCTCCGCAGGGACTGGGCGTTCTTTCCAGAGGGAGGGGAAGAGAGAATTCCCGGGATATCCATCCCTCTCGGCAGTGTCGCTTGCGTGATGCACGTACGAACGCGTCGCGCGATCAAGTCGCGGATGAGAGGAACGCCGCGTATGCCGATGAAACGGCGGCTTGTCGTCGTGTTGCGACCCGAACGACGAATCTTCCTTGCGAGTCTTTTCGTTGTCTTTGCGATGTAATTTCTCATTTAGCACTTGCGAAGAAAATGCACATGGCGAGGAAATATTCTACTCGGGCGAAAGCAGATATCGCGCGTTTGACATTCGCGCGAGGGATATTTTTTTTTATTATTTTAGTGTAGCTGTGTGAAGTTACTCCAGAATAGTCTTACGGTTGTATTTTTCTTTTTTAATTTCTGCAAGATAATTTCTGTTGTCGTCTCAGTCATCAGGGTACATACGTGCGAATAATACACAAGTGAGAGAGGATGATGAGACTAATTCACTTAAAATTAAAACGAAGCGGGAAAAGTGACTAGCGGTGCTATATCATATATTCCTTCTCGTGACTTGTTTCAAAACTAGTTTTTCACTTACTTCCGCGTTAATTAAGATAAATCCGATGGTTAACAACGAACGCGAAATGGAGACGCATGTTCGCGAAGTTGCCACAGTACGGTTGTACTTCAAAGCGAAGATGAAGCGGAAGATAATACGCGCGATATCACGATGAATCAGAAGTAGAGGCAGAATTTTCAGCGAAAATTGTCCTCTTTTCTACTAATTGGCGCGCGTACGCGCGCGCGCGCGCACGTGTGTGTGTGTGTGTCGGCTCAATGTAATTTGGCGTGAAATAAGGCGAAACCTTCCCTCAGAGATACAATGTGAGACTTACTTCGTATAACAGCCAGACTGTCGATCGTAGCCGAAGCGAGCGTAAAGTTTCGCTTGACACGCTTAAAAACGTACTCACGTGCATTCGCGCGGCTATCAAGACATTATGTAATTTCAATAATACACTACTTCCGACAAAGGCGAGGGGCTCTCGGGCTGCAGTAAATCGATATAGTCGTCGCGCGGGCCGTGAAGCTCCAGTTCGCGCCCGTCCGCGGTGCAAGCTCGTCCACCGTCGAACTTGCAGGCGGTAAGACGTAGAAATGGAGAAAGGAAAGAGCAAGAAAACGAGTAAACCAAGGGCGGGGGGACACCGCAAAGTGGTCGGATGCTTTTTCCGAGTGGTCGAGCGAGAGCGAATCGACTGTTGGGGGGACGGGATTGGCCGCGACCCTTTTCGGCGCGCCAGAATTGCCGAGGGATTTATCGAGCGGCGTTCTTGCCGATTGGAGGTCGTCGAAGTCCTCGAGAAGCTATCGAGTTAGAAGAAACGACCCGGCGAGACAGAAACGACGAGGATGCGGCTATTGCCGTATGATCGACCTTATTAAAAGCGAGATGTCTACTCGTGATGGAACGCAACTACCCGCGACTTGAGCGAGTTGAGCGCGAAATCGATGCGAGAAACAATTGGTGGCCGTCGGAGTAGCGGCCACCAATCGCGAGAAATCGGCCGATACTTCCTGCGAAGCGCTCGTTACGAAATTCAAAGTGTAACGGAGAGAAAGAGAATAAGGGGAACAAGGGAGGGCGGAAGGAGAGTGGAGAGAGCAATCCGACGTTTCGGGCAATCCGAGGTCAATGAACAAACGAGCAAAATTCAATCTAGTCGTTTCCCTCTCGCGCTACGCCTCCCTGTTGCGAAATAAAAGCAGAGCTAAGCCCGGCAGCGCTATGGATAAGGGTTAAATTCCGTCGTGGAGCAACGCGAGGGGGATTAGTCCCTTTTCCGTGTGCCACCGAGTGCGCCCGCGTTGACCGCGCTACGTTTTAATTAGGCAAATTTTCGTGGCCCGTGGCCATTTGTCACGATAAAGCCTCGTCCGGGCGCGACACCCTTTCGCCGTCCCGAAAAATCCCCGACTGACCCGGTCACGTACGCTGTGCAGCGATATTTATCATTTCTTCCGACGCGAGCTTGCCGTGCTTGGCAGACGACGTATTTTTCCCAAGCCTTGTACAGACTTCCGAGAGAAAGGACGGGGAATTATGATCATCGCGCGACACAGCCGGGCCATTATACATTTTAAGCCACTTCTCTCGTTTCTTCCCTCCGGTAGTAGTAAAGCAGGATGCGGGGCGGACCTTTCCCGCTTTGCCCGTTTTAAAAATATTTTCGAAAATGACGACGACTGGACGGTGATCTTTGAGAAGGATTTCGCGCATCAAAGTTTTGTTTGGCTGCTGTAACGGATCTTAATTGCAATTTACAAGATCTACAATGGAGTGATTGTGTGTACAGATAAAGCGATCGAGAAGATGAGAATGATTGAGGCAGAATGTTGCTTCTGAACCTGATGTGAATGAATGCAACGTATATTTTTTCGAACGTCGTAAGCTCTCCTTTGTGGAGGGAAGGACATTTGCCAGACGTTTCGAGCGTGCGAATTTTCGTAATTTTCGGAAAAGGGACCAAGAGCGGCAAAGAGAGTATTTTATAAGAGGGGAAAGCCGTAATCGCTTCTTGAGGCGGGGACGAAAGGATTCAGAGTGTTGGGTCCTCTTATGCCTCCGTTTCACAGAGGGCAACGAATTAGCTTGCGTTAAATGCGGGCGGCGTGGGTGGCTTTGCGAAGGATAAAATCGCTGGATTGTCGTTTTGCGCGGCGTCCGTGTCGGCGTTACGAAGTTTAAATTAAGTCATTTTAATCCCGCGAGGAGGGTTGACGGGTGGCAGGTGGAGGAGAGGAAAGAGAAGGATGGTGGGGAGGAAAGAGAAGGGCGGAGGGGAGGGAGAGGGAGGATATCGAGGAAACTTCGTCGGCGCTCTTGTTAAGTTCCGACGTTAAGTAATCAGATTAGCCCCGGAACTAACCTCGAACGCCGCTGAAAACGTTGCGGGGGAGTCTCGCGTTAATCCAGTTTTGCCTCGGCGAAATTTTGGCCCCGTAATCGCTTCCAAAAATTCCGCAACGGAAGGGCAGGAGGAGGAGGAGGAGGCCGTCGCGAGAGCCCATCAGAGGAAACAAGCGTAGACGAGAGATTGCTGAAGTTGTCTCGAGGTTGTCTCTCTAGTTTGTCCTCCCTCGCCCCCCCCCCCAAAGAAACTAGCTCCGCCCTCTTCCCCTCGAAAGAGGGTCGTCATTAATTTCTTGGATTTCTCTGCTTCGGATTAAATCACATGCTGTCGGAATGAATGGTCTTTAAGTTCGCTCGGAGGAATCATCGAGCTCGT